ATTTAACACAAATATAATTCTCATTAGTCATTTCTAAAATACAATGTATAATTAATCTATTTTTTTTGCTAGTTTCCTCTTTAACCTTTTCATAGCTACTAAACTTTTCTTATCATTCCTATTTAATAGAGTACCTATTATATTAATATTCAAATGAAAATTTGTAATATGCGAAAATGTACAATTTGTCTAATGAATTGGACATATTGTACATATTAATATAATATAAAATTATTGAAATAACATATAATCAGTATGAGTGAATATACATATATGATTGAAATTCAACAATTAATTCGATAATTATCAATAGAGCCTATATAAGTTCTTTTTGATTAGAATAAAGCTGGATGGATATTTTTAGGAAATAACGATATTCTAATCATACTTATTGAGTAGTTGTTAACAAACATCAGGATAACAATCAGATTGGAAATCATGATTTTTGATGTTTTTGAGTGTGAAGGATATGATCTAAAATGAATGAAGAGTATACAATAATTGCAAATGCAATTTGAGAAGGTTCGTAATTCAATTTCCAAGGTAATGCCATTAATGATAAAGTATATATCAATCGACCTTATTCAGCTGATATTCTTTTTGTTTTTTTAATGTAATAGATTAGTTGTTCAATAAAATCCATTACAGTTGGTTTAGTTATTTCAAAATTTAACTTTTGTAAAATGTGTGTTTCTATTTTTGTAGACATCTACCATTTGCATCTCTCTTATTAATCAAATTTAGTTGCAATCTAAAGACTTGTTAATAAATAATCCTATGTTAATATATTAGTTCTTAAATAAATTGATTTAGCTAGGTATAATGTTGAGATTTTAAGTTTTAGCCTAAATTAAAATTATGATAGTATTTTAAACTCATCCAACATATCATCTTGTTAAAATATCAGAATTTATTGAGTGTTTAGATATGCAAGAATGTCCTTATAATAAGGATTCAATGATTCTGTTTCGGTATCACTCATTTTTAAATTTAAATTAATTATTCTCAAAATTAACTGCTCTATTGAATTTACATAAAATTCTTTAGTATGTTTAATATAAATATTACAATTAATGTAATTTAATTTATTCTTCATATACATCTAAGAGCAAAATAAATACGATTCTAAAATAAATAAGGATGTTCCTTAATCAATGTGTTAAATTCATTAGATTTTAATATTTCTTTAATATAATTCTAAATCTACTCGTTTTCAACTTATTTCAATACTTCTTACAAATTTAGTTTTATTACTTTATAGATTGATCTAAATAACTATATAAATGATACTTATACTGAGTGATAACTCATAAGTTCTTGTATATTTAGTTGAATGAGAGTATTAATCTTTAGTTTTTTTCTATTCATAAACACACTTAAACAAGTCTATGATTGAATTTTTGTGTACATTAATTTTATTTTTAATTATGATCAGTCAATTACTATCAGAACACAATTTTCTTACATCCATCACTCATCATAAGCATTCTTCGTTGGTTACTCATCTATCATCACCTCATAAAACATAGATAAAGGCTAATCGGTAAAATCGACATATAGATTGTCAAGGAGAAGTATATGATAAAAGAGATCTAATTAATGCAAGTAATGATAATCAATTGTTAAAACCTGAAACTGTGAGAAAGAATAATCGACTTAAATCAAAACCAGCAGTTTCAAGATTTATGAAGAAATTAATTATATCTAACTTCAAAGATAATAAAGAAATATTCTATTCTGTTACTCCTATGTAGCCAATTTATGATCAATTTAAATAAAGATATGAACAAAGGGAAAGAGATAGAGTATTTTAAAACCATCATTTTGATAAAGTTTATAAACATCACTTAAGTAGAGCCATACAATATATATTGTAATAAGTATTAAATTTTCTTTCATTTGATGATGTTTTTAAAGTTAATTTAGATAAAAGTGATTATGATAGATATTTATAGAGATAACCAAAATTATTAAGGAATTCTGTGAGTTCAATGGATTTATTAAATCTCTAATAAACCTAATTGGATAATGAATTGACAACTAATAGAAAAATCTAATTAATAGCTAATGTATTTTCGGATCCTCATTTCAATGCTAAAGAAAGATAAGTGTTGTATTAAGTACTTAGATTTTAGATTGCATAAGCTTAAAAATCAATTGTAAAATTAGAAAAAGCCAGCATAGGAATTAAAGCATTAAATCGTTTTTAGACTAAGAAAGAAGGTCATTTAGAATAATTAGCCTTCATTCTTGATTATATGTAAAATAATTATGATAAACTTGTTAAATTAATATGATTACATTTAATTATTAAATTAATTCTCTTTTATTTATGAGAATCTAAAAATATATATAAAATTTAAATGCATTCTATTCTTCTTAATCCAATCAAAAATTTAGTTTACATTATAAGAGCGTGCCAAATAATCGAAAGACAAATATAAATAACATTAAAAAATGGCAAGAACTAAATAAACCGCAAGAAAAAGTACTGCTGGCAATAAAAAGCCTACCAAACATTTAGCTACTAAAGCTGCAAGAAAGACTGCTCCAGCTGTTGGTCCATCTGGTGGTTTAAAGAAACCACATAAATTTAGACCAGGAACTGTAGCATTAAGAGAAATTAGAAAATATTAAAAGTCAACTGAATTGTTAATCAGAAAGCTACCATTTTAAAGATTAGTAAGAGAAATAGCTCATGATTTCTAAAAAGAATTAAGATTTTAGAGTTCTGCAATTTTGGCGCTTTAAGAAGCAGCTGAAGCATATTTAGTAGGATTGTTTGAAGATACCAATTTATGTGCAATTCATGCAAGAAGAGTAACTATTATGTCCAGAGACATACAATTAGCTAGAAGAATAAGAGGAGAAAGATTTTGAATAATATGACTAAAATATGTGGCAATTATTCGAAAGTTTTTTTTTAACTACTTAATTTTTTATAAAATTAAATTTATATAATATAATAATATATGTAGGAATTAGTTGAAATTAGTTTAAAAAAAATTATTCCCAGAAATTCTGTTTAATCAAATTGAATTCTACTCTCTATTCAAGATATTGAAGAATAATGAGGTGTATAGTTGATGTAGCAATATAGTCAGTCATATTGTTGCAGGATCGATCTAAGCATATCATTTTGATTAACATCTTTTGAGAACAAAGTAAATTATTATTATTTAGTTTGAATTTAAATTGGAATTATTAGCTTTTTGGACAACAAGATTAGCATATTTTCTATTCAATTATAGAATTTTAAGAGGATTTAGAGATCCTAGATATGAAGTTATTTTTGACGAATATAAGAAAGAGAACTTTAAAAGAGATGTTGTTGTTGATAATATATTTTGCAAAGATTCATTGTATTTGTAACTAGTTCTTCTTTGTATTTCTTATTTAAGAATAAATTAAATCCTTAATCTATGGCAATTTTAGGAACATCTACTTAATAGATATATTTTGAAGGATTAGCTGGTTATACATATTCCTATCTATTATGGATCATCAATTATAATAATTTAAGGATCAAAAAATTAAATTTTCAAATTCTATATTTAGGTAGGTTTATGGAAAAAATATAGAAAAGAGCAGACATCCAAATTTATTTTTTGACTTAGACATCTAATGCTATAGCCAGCATTAAATCAAGACATGATAGTTTAAATTTAATTAGTTCATTAATATTATATATGTAATGGCTAAATTGACAATACCTATTACAGTAAAATTAATGAAGAAAAGAAGAGGAGACAAATTTACAAAATATTGTTTAAAAACTAATAAATTCTTACCAATTTGAATATTAATTTCATTATTATTAGATATATAAATCTTTTAAATTATTTCCAATTCTAATTCTAATTTAATCTCTATAGTTTTTGTTTCTCCATAAAAAATAATAAATCATGCTCTTATGAATATTACATCCATAACTAATTTTTTTTCCTAATCTTAAATCATCCAATACATTTTTCACCAATAAATTAGGTTCTATAACTTCTGGTCCTTATTTCATAGCCAACATTTTAGTTCTTACTCCCAAAGGTGTGACACTTATAAAATCAGTATTCTTATATGTCAACCCTAAGGATTGAGTGAAATAATGAATAAATGATTTTGTACTAGAATAAACACTAACAAATGGACATGGCAAATATGTTAAGCCAGATGAAACAGTAATCACTGCAGATTTATTCTATCTAAATTCTAATTTGTTGATTAATATTTTGGTCATCATCAATGTTGATAAAGCATTGATTCTAAATATCTTTAGAATATTTTCCATTTTCTCTTAAACAAATAAAGATCCTTCTCCTATACCTACATTATTTACCAAAATTGAAATATCTAAATATCTTAAATCAGATTTAACTTTTTCATAAAATTCAATTGAATGCTCTTAGCTAAAATCTGCAACTATTATTTTGGTTTCAACTTGAAAATTTTATAATTATTAAGAGAGTTCATTCATTTTTTATTCATTTTTTGCCACTACTACAATATTAAATCCTTATTTAGCCAATTCGATACAAAACTCTTTTCCAACACCATCAGATCCTCCTGTTACTACAGCCCATGAATTTCTTCCATACCTCTAAATTATGTTTCTTCTTACTCTTGGAATTGTCATCCATAATAATTTAGCAAAAGTCTTTATTAAATAGAAGGATGCTGATATTAACAGAAATCAATACCAACTCCTATAAAGAAAGATATTAATTTAGATCTCTTATGTAAATGCTAATAATAAATGTGAATGAATTCTTTGTGTAATCGAATAAGCTATTAGATGTTTAATAATTCCATTATTAATCAATGTTATTTTATGTTTATCATATTTTTGGTATAATGCATAAATGCATAAGTAAATCCAATGTTGTACAAATGGGGAACATACAAGCCACAATTAATTCATGCTATAACTGAAAGAAACATGCAAACCTTTAATCCACTCACCATCACCTTTTATTACTTTATGAACAATAATATAAGATGGGAGAAATCAATCAAATATAAAATAAATGAAAGAGGTAATGATGAACCCACATATTTTCAATATCTTTATCATGATGGTGAAAGATATGCAATACATGAAACTATAGATGGAGAATATAAAGTAAGATTCACAAATGAATTCTATAAGTAAATTGATTTTTTATGATTAGAGTCAATCCAGAAAAAATTGAAGATTGGGTTACAACAGTTGTTAATAATGATGCCTTAGTTGGAGATGAAGAATACATTAGTTTGGTTTACTCTATTGCAATTGAAAAATTAAATTAAGAAAAAACTGATTTAAGAAAATTATAAGTTGAAGAAGAAGGTGATTCTCTCAAAGTAATTATTATTTTAATCTAGATTACTATTACTACAGCCTAATAAGTAAACTACATTTATGTGACCTTAGAATCTAATGGTAAATAGGTCAATTTAAATCAAAACGATAATTTCGGATATTCGTTGCAATTTTAGAATCCTACCTTAAATTACAATTTGAGAACTCTCTTATATAGTGAATTGAGAAAAACTAAAGAAGATATTCCATTTAAATTTAATAAAACTATTGATTAAGAATAAGGCAATATTGTCTTTGTTTAATATGTAGCCAAAAGAAATGAATTGTTTAAATTTTAATTAAGATATATGTAAAGAGAGATATCAGTATCAAGTGATTACTTTTTTGATGCTAGGATATTAAAGAAATTGGATAATATGAATTTCTTCTCTTAATTCAATAGGACTTTCAATAAAATACAATTAAGTATCTATATCAAATTTATTGATTATAGAAAATCCATTCTATCTATCCTGCTCAATGAGTTCATTTGTAAATCTTATAGGAGGATTTGCCACTTCTTTTGGAAACATAGAATGTGAAGAAGCAAATCCAATCTGTTAATAATAGAAGATGATGTTTACTCCAACCCCTTCAAGATTTGGATTCCCTAGACCATTTCTATGGGATGATGGATTTCATAATATGATTGTTTGTAGATGGAAATCTCAATTATGTATATAATCTTTATTAGATTGGTTTGATACAATGTCAAGTAATGGATGGATACCTAGAGAATAAGCAAGAGTATTTTAATATCTTTATATTAAAGAGCCCAGAATAGAAAACAGCTGTACCTTAAGCATTCTTAGCCTAAAAATAAAGTGAAACTAATCCACCTACTTTTATATTTAATTTTCTTTATCTTGATTGTATGAGTTATAGTATATAAATTAGCTTTGAAAAATGGAGAAATATAATAATAGGTTCGAAAACTATATACAAAAGCTATAGATTGGTATCATTTTTGGATAAAATCTTAAGGGGTAAATGAAGGAGATAATTTCTTATTATTCAAATGGTGGGGAATGAATGATAACATTAATTTTGGATCAGGAATGGATGATTGGCCAAGATCCCATAATGGATTGAAAAGCAAATTCAATATTGATGCTAGTATGTGGGGTTGGTTTTTTGCTGATTCAATGCAAAAATTGGCTACGATTTATGATCCATAAAAAAGCAACCAATTCCATTAAACAGCAGAAATGATTAAGAAGTCTATTAACAAATATCATTTCGATCCAGATGATAAAATATTTAAAGATGTCTTAATAGATGGATCCTTTTCTCCTCATCTTGGATATCCAAATTTATTCCCTATTGCTTTTGGATTTATTGATCCTACTAAAACAGATATTTTAGATTCCTATGTAAATATGATAAAAAAAGAATTATGGACAAATCATGGTCTTAGATCTTTGAGCATTAATGATAATCATTTTGGAAAAGTTATCGATATTATTAAATATTATAGGGAGATAATTATTGGACTGGACCAGTTTGGATACCAATTAATTATTTAATTCTTAGAGGAATCTAAAAGTATTATCCTACACATAAAGGGTTAATGGATATCTATAAGGAACTTCGAGAGAATTTAATGAATACTGTTTGTATTAATTGGAGAGACAGAGGGTAATGTTATTCCATTCATTTTTTAGATACTTCTTTGAACATTATAATTAAAGATAAGATGGATTAGGAAGAGGGTATCATCCTTTTAATGGATGGACTAGCACAATAACATTAATTATACATGAAATTTATGATTGAGTTCATTTTATAATTATATTATTTCAAAATAAAATTAGTATTTATTTTTTTATAGGACTTAAGGTTAATCATAATAACATTATAAAATTACTATGATTTATATATTTATCGTGTATCATATAATCTTTCTATATGATATCAATAAATTACAGAATTGTAAATTTAAAAGATTTGAAGTTTAGTATTTCTGTAATCATTAATAAAATAAATATAATTTTTTTGTTTTACGTTTTTTTAATATTTAGATCATACTAATTAATAAGACATTTCTTTGCTATCTTGTTATTTCTCTTTTTTTTTGCAATATAAAACGACGATCACAATAATAATGATAATCAAAAGAATACTAACGGCAATGATAATTATGAGTCTTGATTTGAATTTTTAATTTGGGTTAATATTTTCATCATCGTCATCATTATCATCATCATCATTTTCATCATTTTCGTCATTATCATTATCATCATTTTCGTCATTATCATCATCATCATCATCATTATTATCATCATCATCATCATTTTGTTCATTCATAACAAAAATAGATCTTTAAAATTAGGTTTATTGGTTTTAAGCAAGAATCTCAATTTCTGCTTGCTAATCTTCCTAAATACTGACGTTAAATTGTAAAGAATTTTTAATATTAATAATTAATGATCTATTTTCATATAACCCTGACAATAGATAATAATCTCCCCTCATTTGACAAAAATTTCGATAACTAGTAAATATGGATTATTTAGAACTTATGAATGGAACAACTTGCATATTTGAATAAAGCCTAAAATGAAATATATACTTTACAAATCTTGTACATTATACAAGAATAAGTCAATAGATTAATTACCATTTAGCTCATAGGCAGAATCTATCATAATTAGCTTATTGGCAGTCTTAAATGCGTATTATTTTGAAAAATCTAAAAATAAAGACCCAGAAGATTAAAATCCAATAATTTTTCCATCCGTTAAATTAAACTAAATCCTATATATTTTAATATCGTTAGAGTATGGACAAGCTATTAGTAATTAACTAACTTAATCATTAATATTTATTGGTAATCCAACCTATTAAATAAAATCCAAAACAGATAAACTCGTTATTTGAGTCTCAACAAGCATCCATTCTTAAATTGAAAAATATACATTTGTAATTTCAGTATATTAGTTGCCTGAAAATCCAAAATATTATGCAATAGAGGATGGCATGCAAGTTTTTAGAAAATGAAATTTTGGATTTTAATTGGCTACAGGTTAATATGAAAATCCCAATATCTAACATGGATCCGAAGTAAAATTAGAGGATAATTTTATAATCAATTGATCTATTAAAGGAAATTATTAAAACCTAAGATAAGAATAAATTTGGGTTAATATGATTTAATTATCTTAGATTTATAAGTAATATTAATAGTAATTATAGTTGATATTATTTGAATAAGCAATTAGTTATAAAATGCCACCATTGTAGTATTTAAGGAAAAGTATCGATAAATTAGTGAGATCATATTGCAAAATAGTTTGAGATGTCAGGTTATAACTATATATAATTGAATTTGAACAAATAGAAATTGGAAATTAAGAGACTAATTCAACAAATAGAGTAAAACATTTTTCAATTTTTTTAGGAAAATCGTATAATTTTGTTATTTATCCTGTTGAATATTCCATTAAGTATACACTTATGTTATTTTATATATAAAGAAATGTCTCATTTATTTAGACTATTCCTTGTAAATAAATGTTTAACTACCCTGAACTTTGATAATTAATTGGTTCAGTATAATTGAATTATTAACAGTTTTTGCAAGTTGCAGTATAATTATCAATATTCCCATTAAAAACTTCTAATGGATTCAAGGTGAATTGACTCTAATTCATTTATAATCCAACTATATTCTTTTCTGTATCATAAAGACGAGGCAGAATTACTTTTTTTTCATAAAGTATTGTTACATCTTATTGTTTAAAATACGAACATTACTAATTTGATGAATTGTAACTAACTTATGTTTATACACTAAGCTAATTAGCTTGATATTGAGGGGTCAACGCAACACTCCAATCTGTGATCACAACCTTTTTAATTTCATTTATAGTATTGCATATTTAAAGATACTCGATTTCTTATGCTTATTATTGAAATTCAACCGCACTAATAGAGCTTATATAACTCAAACTTGAAAAAGTTGATATCCAGTTTGATTAAACTAAGGCGACAAATGAAGATCCACTTCCTTAATATTAAGCCCAATAAACTGATGTGGATTTATATAAAATAATGTAAAAATGACGTTAAGTATATGCGGTCTAGAGATTAGAAAAAGCAAATTAATAGCCCTATAAATTCAATTCATAATATTTTTGGATTGGATTAGCAATAAACATAGACTAAATAGGATAATAATACAATTATGTATTTTACTATTAGTTAATTAAAGCTATATAAATGCCATTATTTAAAATGCCTAATTTTATTTATTCATAACTTAGTTATGGATATGCAATCTAATTTACAAACTAACAGGATGAATATCCATTATATGACAAAATGACTAAGTTTTATTAATTATCAATAAAAAGATAATTTGGATAATTTATTTTGTTTAAGTAGATTTAATTGAATTGGTAATTCTCTACAGTAAATTTTGGTGTTTTAAGATTGCTTTTAGAATATGCTGATAAAATATTATTATTAGTGATTACAAATAATGTCTATTCCAGAAATGCTGAACTTAAAATCGACTGATTGAATGAATACTAATACAATCCTTATTATTATAATCCATAATCAATAGTCTAAATAAGTACATAATTTGTAAATTGCATAATGACTTCAATTTATAATAATGTTTAAGAACAAGTACACTGGACAAGACTTTCATTGAAATTTACTGGAACAACAAAATAAGTGTTAGACTTTGAAACTAATTAAGGTTATGAGTAGTTAATTCTAATTTCACTTTAACTTTAAGAACATGTAATAATGTTAGATCTATATACAGTACACATAACTGAAAATGATTCATTTGATTGTGTAGTATATTTATTTATGTTAGATTTTTAAACAGTCAAGTAATTTTTATCTGATGAAGTAATTGCTGTTGTAATGTTTGGGCCTAGCATCATTTAGTTAGCTTTGATTGTTTTTATTTATGGATAAACTAAATTAGCAGTAGGAAAATCATTAGAAAATGAGATGGGACATTAAATTTAACTAATATCTGTTATTACTATATTTAAAAGATAAATAATCTTCAATTTCACGCAAAAATTATGAAATTATTTTTATTTTAAGTTTGACTACCTAAAAGTTTTATGTTATTTATTGAGTTTAATCTAAATTAATCTAAATTTATGGCTTATTGAACAAAATACTTTAAAATTTAGTCGATTACTCACTTGTATCTATAAGAATAGCAATTTATCTTTCAAATTATATTAGTGCCATATTCGCTAATGAATAGTTCAAATAATTTGTAGGTTTTATTGATGAAACTGAGTCTAATTTAGTTATATAATTATTAGTCACTACATATATTGAATTTAAGTTAATTACTAGTTAAATTACTTTTTCATATTGATTCAAAATGAAATTTTTTATATTCTATGTCTAATCTTTTAGTTAAGTATCAAAATACAATTATGACAAATATTTATTTTATAACAATACAATATGAAAAATATTTGTTGTTAATTAATATGCAGCCATCTTAGTGAAATGCTCATTTAATTTATGTGTAGTTGTTTTATAATTAGCTATTTCTCTTAAGCTATTATTGATTGATAAATTTATAAGATAAACTGATTTTTTACTCATCAAAAATAGATAAGTAAAATCTTCAGATAAAACAGCTTAAATATAGGTGCCATTATAAACTTATTGAGTTATTTATTGTACTTGTTTTTAGTTGTAACTAAAACAAATAACTGAAGCATTTTCTTTAGTGACATAAGTTAAATAAATATAAAATGTATTTTCATTAACATATTGCAAATTAATTTTTCTATTACTATATGTTTTAGGGAAGGTAAAATTTGTTGCAAATATTTGAATCGAAGAGTTAGAATAATTAGTGAATACAAAATTCAAATTATTTTTTTTAAGACAACTTATCATTCCCATACTCTCTGTTATTAAATTAATATAAAAACAACCTACAATAATTCATAAAAATACTTAATTAAGCAAGGCTGATTGGTACTATATTGAAGTTTAGACTTCCATTGCTCTCAAGCAATCCTTAATATAGATTATTTTTTGTTAGTACCCAAAATTTATTAGAACTTAATTGAGATTCCGAAATATAATTGCTAGCTGATAAAATTTTCCCATCTATATAATATATAATAAAATACTCAAATTTAATTTTCCTTCCTAGAGTGGCAAAGCAGATTACTAAATACTTAAATTAAATTCATTATTTCGTTCCAATTAATATAAGGGAGCCTAAAATTTTTAAGGAGTATAATCATCTAAAAACATGATGTTAGGCTAATTTGATTATAGTGGAAAATTATAAGTGTCTTCAGCCATCACTATCATTCCCCATAAGACTAAATTGAAAATACAATATGACATTTTTTAATAATTTTATTAAATATTTAGATAGAATCTTTTATTACAGGTATTAATATTCATAGTATCTTATTCTTATTCAAAAAAATATTGGAATTACAATTTCTATTAAGCTTTGATAGATAATAATACAGAAATTCTTTGATAATATCTGAATAGATGCTATTAATGTTAAATAGATAATCATTTTTTTTATTTTTAATAAATAGACTTAATAAAATAATGTTATTTTTTTTAATTTTACTAAATAGTATATAATAATCACAATAAAACATCTTGATTATAGATTTAAATTTTGTACAATTTTATTTTATTTATCCAAATATGTACAGATGAAGTTTTGATTTATAAAAATATAAATAGTTTATTTATAAAAACTTATATATTTTTCTTGAATTTAGATATCCTCTCAGGCTCTAAAAATATATGACCAACTTACCTTAAACTAAACAGGTTTGTTTCATTATCTAGCACAAAAATAACTATTTAAAACCTCATATATTAAATAGCCACAATAGATAAAAAAGAAAAGAAAAATTCCATATTTAGTGATTCCAGTAATGCGTTTAATACCTTAAATTGGAAGCGATCTTATAAAATAATAGAAGAAAGAGTGATTTTGATAAATAAGATGTTAATATATTTAAGCACTCCACAAAAACCTAATCATTTTATATTTATTAAATAATAACTCAGTTTACTTCGCTAGCAGGATTTCTCAAGGTTATACCACTATCCCTCCATTATTCAATATTAATCTTGACAAATAATTGCCATTAATCAAGAAATACTCATTGCATACTGTTAAGTTTATAATATTGATATAATAATTAGAAAGTCCGAAACGAAATAATTTCTTATAGTATTAGAACAAATCTGTTAAAACCTTCTTTAATAATCAATAAGAAGAGGTTTGAAATTATGCTTATTAAATATTACTTTAGACCCAAAACTAATTGGCTGCTCGATTATCCTATATCTTATATTAGATAATAAAGATAGTAAGATATTACTTACAACAACATGGGCAAAATATTACCATAATGAATAAATCTACAACTTGTGGTTAGTTTTCTCACAAAAAAACTCTTACGGAGATAACTCCAACTATAATTATGGAAGATATATAGCTTACTTCTTATATTTTATCCTTTCGATCTAAATTTAAAATATGATAATAGCAATCATGAATTTACACACCTATAGCTTTAAACAATTATGTAGATTTCAAAAAGCTTACCAAAAATTTTACTGGAGTAACTAATACCAAGTTTTGAAACCTCGGTTACATAAACTGTTAATTAAGTAAGCTAAAATATGCAAATGAGGAACATTATAATACAGTAAAGCACAAATCAAAAATCATATGAAACAGAAGGCTTCAAATCATTATGGAAGTCTAAACCAGAGAATTTCCAACGTTTTTACATAGTATACTAAAGTCAAAGAGCGTAATAACTGTCCCTTGTAATCTTATCAAATATCACTCAAATTAAAAAAAATTTAAGACTATAATGAAGAAATATCATAAAAGAAATGCAAAAAGAAGCTCCTGAAAAAATATTTAGAAGATAAAATTACTCAAAAACCCAAGATCGAGCGAATTCGCTTTGAATAATTAAATAATGGGTGTTAATGATTAATAAGAATAATAATATCCAATAACAATTAATAATTATATGAATTAATATAATTTATAATATATATAATCATTTTTCTTTATAATTCGAGTTTTAAAATATTAATTAATTATTTTCTGATTTTAAAATTTTATAATCTATTCTCAAATCAAATTTTTGAAATTTAAAAAAATGATATTTTTCCATATTAAAAATAGGTTTTTTTACTTTAAAATTATATAATGCACTTTAAATGAAAATTGTTTATTTGTTTGAATGATATATAAAGTTAATGAATGAATATACAGAGAAAATCATTAGCCACCTCTCAATCTTAAAACTAAGTGGAGAGTTGATTCCTTTTAAATGTTATAATCTGAAAGTGTTCTTCCATCTTCTAATTACTTTCCTGCAAAAATGAGTCTTTATTAATCAGGTGGGATTCCTTCCTTGTCTTAAATTTTAGCCTTGACAGCGTCAATAGTGTCTGATGGTTCAACATCAAGAG